CAGCCTCATTTTCATCTGCATTAAATTCAAAATGGTGCCTAACCTGACAAAGGTCTATTATTGGTTGATACTGGATATTTGTATTTATGCATTTAGTAGACGCATATCCAAAGCGACTAATTTCAGGTCTCATAATCCCTAGGAATTTTTCCATATTTCATTTTGCATGCTTTTTTTTTTTTTCATTAAGGGCCGTTTACATGACACTGTTTAAAAGCATTTCCATCTACAAACAGAAAACTTCATTCGTTTTTGGCCGTTCATTTACACGGCAACAGCGGTTTGAAACTTTTGAAAATGGGTTTCAAAGTACAAGTTTTTGAAAACGATACAGTTGTCGTTTCCATATAATAAACTACAAAAACGTGAATTTGTGGTGACTTCATGCGTATTACATATTCAGTCTATAGGCGTGTATTGTTTCTCAAAGTGACATCGCCAACTACTGGCCTGGCATGAATAGTACAGCGTTTTTAGACATTTTCACTCTTTTCTGTTTTTAGCACATCATTGTTGTGTAAACATACCCTTACATCATATTTGCCATCATCGAACTGATTTAACAATAATAGTTTAATAAAATGTGATCTTTACATTTTGTACACTGAACATTTTATTGTACATTATAATGCCTAAATTTACTAGTAGTATTTAAAATGATCAAATTCAATTTAGTGTTTTGTTTATAATGAATTTAGGCAAAATAGTATAAGATTGTAATATCAATACTGGCCAGAATTCTAACCTCTAATATTTTCGCACAAAATTGGAATTCTCTTCAAAATAACCTAGCTTAAACAAACATCGAATGCAATGAGGTCATGTGACAATGTAGAATACTAGCCTGCTACTGTTTGAAATGTTTATTGGTGATATCGTTTGACATACTTAAAGTGTGCAGCATATAGAACTGGACATTATTGGTAAAATATCTTTGTTTTAAACATTACAAGAAAAACAATCATTGGAACATTTGAGATCTTGCTCTTCTGCGGGTTTTGTCAGACACCTTCAGAAGCTGCCGTCTGCCTTCAAACAGCAGTATACTAGCAGCCATAGCAGAGTTCAGGCTCTCCACTCCTGGAGCCATGGGAACAAAGATCCTTCTACCCTCCGTTTCCTCGGCCAATCCAAGAGCCTCCAAACTCAGTTCACACGTCTCTCCACCAATCACCAGGGCCGTGCTCTTCTGAGCCCAACTCTCATGGTACACCTGAGGCTTCACACACGGCAGTGAAAGTTCATCATCGGACTCTTCATCAGAGTCACTTTCACTGGATTTATCCAAAGTAACATTTTGTATTTGTCCTGAAACTGGAGCAGATGCAGGGTCTTTTGTAAAAATGCTACAGTTATCCGCTATATGGACAATCACGTCCTTTGGTAAGTGCTTAGAAATGTCATCCCAGTCCAGATTAGGAAAGACCGGAAGGCGGAAATGAGCTCCCATTGCGGCGCGTAGAACCTTAGGCTCCCAGGCATCCACACAACCTGGAAAAATACAAATAAACAGCCAGTGCTTAGTGTTTATAAAACATTTGGATAATTTCATTCAGATTTCTCTTAGTTTTAGTATGGGAACCACCAAACTTTTAAAATGTGTGAAGACTACCAAAATACATAATTTAATTTAACCATTTGAAAATAAATAACTTTGTTTATGTTTCGAGTCAATTTTGACCTGGATACCACACATTATATAATGCATTTTTTTGGCCCTTTTTGTACATCTGAGTTAGATTTGCCTCAAAAATACTGAATAGGACAGAATTTAGTTGGTAAACATAATATTACATGCAAAAACACACTATAAACATCCAAGTAACATAACAAATAAACTATATTAAATAAACTACAGCCCATAAGCATGTAGAGCAAAAGTTCAAAAGCCAAATAGTCCAAATTTGACAAAGTAAGCCATCATTAATTAGAACGTTTATTCAAGTTAAGTTAATAGATTTAGTTTGAAAACTATCTATAGTATATTTAAGTTGTAAAAGGTTCAACCAAGCGCTCAGGTTAAGTTACAAAGTCCGTGATAGGTGGCAGGGAAAAGATCCAAAGAAACGAAAAGCAGGTCCCAGGCACTCAAGTCAAGTTTTCAATGAGGAGAAGGATATCCTATTTATCCTTCTCCTCATTGAAACCTTGACTGAGTGCCTGGGACCTGCTTTTCGTTTCTTTAGTATATTTAAGTTGTTTGTTAGGAAATATGTAGTTTTCATACATTCAGATTCATACACAGCCGTCATAAGCTCAAATGAATTTAATTAAATCCATTGGTTTAAATAGATAATTCTCATAATATATGTACTTGTAAATTTCATAAAATTATATATTTAAGTAAAAATTATCATAAATATTGCTAAAAACTAGAGGTCGACCGATAGTGGATTTTACCAATACCGATATTTAGGTTTGCATGCCGATAACCGATTATTCAACCGATATTTTTTTAAATGGATACTGGATTAAAAACAAACATAACACTCCAAGTAAACAGTGCTGAACTGAAATGTGCTAAATTAAAGTGCGTTAAATGTAACATGTCCCTTTTCAACAAAAATCTTTTTCCATTTATAGGTATTACCTACCTTTGGTTAGGAGAACACGGTCACAACCAGCAGCAGCTGCACAGCGTAAAATAGTGCCTAGGTTTCCAGCGTCACGAACATTGTCACATATCAGGAACAAAGGCACAGACTGGTGACGTATGTCTTTTGGAAATGCCAGACGGGAGGCATCGGGTTTTGAGAATATAGCTGTGATTGGACAGAAACAGTGTGATTTGAGTTGTGTTATAAACATTTAGAAGTAAACTGGGTTTATAAGAGATTCAGCAACTGACCTATAACACCCTGAGGAGTGACCAGGTCAGACCAGGTCTTCATGTCTTCATATTTGACCTTGATGAGCTTGACCTGCTGTAGTTTATCTAGAGGAAGCTCCTGCAGTCTCTCCACCATACTGAAGAAAAGCATCTGAGGAGACGCTCCAGCAGACAGAGCGTCACAGATCAGACGCCTGCCCTCCAGCAGCACCTTACCTTCCTTCTCCCGAAACGTTCTGGAGCGGGCCACACTGGACACCTTCCTGAGGACGACATAATTGTTTTATGACAACTTTTTCTTTGAAATAAAGTAGTGCAAACACCATCTTCCAATTCATGTGTTTACCTAATACCTATACTAATGTTTATCATTTTAAGTCATTCACCCGTGAGGAGAAAAGAAGCTCCGGCTGTGAATGGCATGATACTTAAAGTTTGTTGTCACAACGAACAAGAACATAGACAATGGATCATAATGTCAAAACCTCTGGGTAATAAACAGTTGTAAAAAAAAAAAACGTATCTCCATCTGCTCTGTTTTACACACAAATACATCTTTTAAATGTTCTTCCCAGTGCAGCTTTAAAGGGATAGTTCACCCAAAAATGACAATTCTGTCATCATTTACTCATCATCAAAGTGTTTTTTTTTTCTGCTGAACACAAAAGATATTTGAAGAATGATGTTAACCAAACAGTTGATGGGCCCCATTTTCTTTTTGTATTTTCATTTTTGGGTGAACTATCCCTTTAACAGAGATCCACAATCTTATACCTGGTGCTCCTCTATTAAATACAGCATATGAATAAATAAACAAATTAAATGGAATATAGGCAGACAACGTTGACATTCAACACTCAAATTATGTATTTAGCAAAAATGTAGATGATATGATGTTGGTAACCGTGATTTTCCACTAATATTTGTACTCACGCGAGTCTGTTATCTCCAGCAGGGGGCTTTTCGTAGCGCAGCCCCTCAAGCCTGTCCATAATGTGAGGAGACTCTTCTGCACATTCAGAGACATGATGATGACCACTCCACTTCTTGTTGACAGATCTCTCAGAGACTTTCTCTTTGCGGCATTTATTATCACTCTCAGAGAGGTTTTTGCCTTTTTGTTTGAACATCTTTTGATTCATTTTATCAGTTGTTTCCTTCGATTTAATAAATGTCTCTCGTTTACCATTGGGATACAAGACCGCCACGGGTCTCCGTCGGAGGGCTCGGACATATCGCCTCGAATTCACCAAGATCTGGTTATGCCCTCTAAATAATAAACTATGTTCCCCGAAAATAACAAATCCACGACTCACGTTATACATGAGCGCCGCCATGTTTGTTGACCGCGACCTGCGTCACTGGGAATGAATGAACTCGATGTCCGATTCGTGAACGAATTGTTTTATTGAGTCGGATCGTTCCCAAGAGTTGGATGAATTGGTTCACTAAACCGGTGTCGTAAGAAATCGGGTCTCCCATCAACTGCCAGTTAGTTATACCAAGTGAACACAAACAGTATTAAATCTAAAATATCGATATAATTACTTACTATATGGTGCATAATAAAACAAAATAGACATGGTGTAATGTATTTCAATTGATAATATTTGTACATTGAATGAGCAACAGACTGAATCAGTAGATTCAGGTGGAAACTGAGGATTTGAGAGATGGGAACAGATACTTAATGAACAAATAGAAATTAAATAAAATGTAACTTTTTATGAGTATGGCAGATTTACCAAAACACTTACGAAACAAATAAAATGCAAAACAATTCAATGTCTGTTTGAGCTGAATCAGAGCTACAACACACTGACATGGACAGATGAAATTGCAATACACAACACTTAAATCACAGTAAACAGCAATATATGAACCGATTCTTTGAACGGAACTGTTCAAAGGAACCGATTCGTGTGATTGATTCCGTTTCCCCATCACTAGAATGGACTGTACCAAAGAATGATAAAAGAATTGACCAAGAAATATGCTATACACATTTTATTTAAAATGTAGTTGTGCTTTGTACATTATATATATATATATATTATTTATTTAATTAATTACGTAATGTGCCCATATATATAATGGCATTACAAATCCACGTAGAAATTAAACAAATTAATTTGGTTTAGTCTGTGGCATGTTGACTGCAGAGCAATCGATCGCAAGGTGTGTGCATCGATACAGAGTGTCTGTGATCGTCGCGTTTACAGTGGGAGACTTTCAAGAGTGATGGCACTTAGAAGAGCACTGCATTTTGTTTTTAAAGTAGGAGACAGGACCAGAACAGCCACTTTTTACAGGGATGTCTTGGGAATGAAGGTAGAAGAGCTGTCTACTGACCTTATTGTAATATTCCAGTTCTGTATTGTAAATGCATTGAGGACTTTGCCTCCTAATAATGGTGATAAGACAGTTAATGATGTTATTACCAAATGCAGTTTTGACACGTCGCATATCTTCCCTTAGTCTGTGTTCATTCTCAAATTACAGATTTATAAACAATAACTAATGACTCTAATCTACAGATTCTGCGTCATGAAGAATTTGAGGAGGGCTGCAAAGCAACCTGCAATGGGTTAGTAGTCATATAATAGTTTTTTTGGGGGGGGGGGGGGTTGTATCTTACTAGCTTAACTACTACTTAACCTGTAACTACTTATATAACCTGTATGAAGGGCACATTCGAAACATAGATCTGTTCTTGTGTTGTCAGTCCATATGATGGGAAATGGAGTAAAACCATGGTGGGCTTTGGACCAGAAGATGACCACTTTGTGGCAGAGTTGACCTATAACTATGGAGTGGGTGAATATCGTCTTGGCAATGACTTCCTGGTAAACTCCTTATACATTTACATTGAAACCACACATACAGTAGGATATAAACATCTGAGACCTTTGAGAAAAGAAAACAAATAAATGAATTATACTATATATATTTATCTGTCTGTCTGTCTGTGTGTTCAAACGTTGTGTACACATTTGTTTTAGGATAATTTGATGAATAGAAAGTTTAAAATAACAGCATTTATCTGAAATATAAATCTTTTGTAACATTATAAATGCCTTTACTGTCACTTTTGTATAATTAAATAAAGCATTTTCACTAGCAGTTTCTGACTTTTGGTCCACACCGTATATTTTCTGTGAAATGGGATCCTGATCTTTCCTCTATCTGTGCTCTTCAATATTAGGGTCTCACTCTCCAGTCTAGTCAGGCTGTGAGTAATGCGAAGAGGTTAAACTGGCCTCTCACACAAGTTGGAGACTCTCTCTACATGACTGAAGCTCCGGGAGGATACCGCTTCTTCCTTATAGACAAGGAACAGCCGAACTGTGGTGGGTATTTGCGTGAAGCTCGTGTTATTATAGGGATGTGAAAACTTCCTTCATGAAATGTGGAAGCAGATATATGAGGTAACTTTAGTAGTTAATTGCGCCATTATATATAGACTCCTAACTGATTGTTTCTTTTCTTGGTAATAGATCCTGTCCAGAAGGTCTCCCTGGCAGTCTCTGATCTGCAGCGTTCTATTCATTATTGGTCTGCCCTGCTGGGAATGAAAGTTATTGAGAAAAATGAGGACAAAAAGATTGCCTTAATGGGATTCTCAGATAATCAGGTTTGGCTGAAAATAATCCATTTATTGTATTTTTGGCAATAATTAAATTATGAGGATATGCCACTCACCAAGACCTCGTGAACAGTCTTGAGTTTGGTTATCCTCTTTTTATAAAACTTCTATCAGGCCCTTATGACAGAAAATGCATTTATACAAATGCATACACACTACCCTTCAAAAGCAAATTCATGAAAGAAATGAGTACTTTCATTCAGCAAGGATCAAAAAGTTTATACTGTTACCAAATATTTTTATTTCGAATAATGTTATTTTATTTTATATTCATCAAAGAATCCTGAAAAAAATCATGGTGTCCACAAAAAATAATGTTTTCAACATTGATAATACTAAGATGTTTCATGAGCAGTAAGTCAGCAAGTTAGAATGATTTCTGAAGGATCATGTGACACTTAAGACTGGAGTAATGATGCTGAAAATTCAGTTTTGCCATCACAGAAATAAATGACATTTTAAAATATATTCAAATAGAAAACAGTTATTTTAAATTATAATAATATTTCACAATTTTACTGTTTTTACTGTATTTTTGACCATACAAATGCAGCCCTATTGAGCACAAGAAACTTCTTTTTTTTTGTTAAAACATTTAAAAATCATACTGACCCCAAACCTTTGAATGGTAGTGTATGTGTCTTTAAATCAATTATTGTGCGTTTGTAGTGTAAGCTCGAGTTACAGGACATTGGAGCCGATGTGGAACATGCAACTGCTTTTGGAAGGATCGCATTCGCTTGCTCTCGGGATCAGGTCAGATAATTTACTCAAAACCAACATCCACATCAGATTTTACTTCTTGTAATTTTAAGGAAATGTCTTTGTTTTGCAGTTACCAGACATTGAGGCCATAATGAAAAAAGAAAAGCACAAAATCCTCACCCCGCTTGTGAGTCTGGATACACCTGGAAAAGCCACAGTGGAAGTCGTCATTCTTGCAGATCCTGTGAGAATTTATTGTGTAATGTTATTGAGACTGAATGTTGAGTATTTGCAAAAGTATGCTTGGCTGACTCAGATCTCCACATAATGTAGGATGGTCATGAGATCTGCTTTGTGGGCGACGAGGCATTCAGGCAGCTCTCTGCAATGGACCCTAAGGGAAATGAGTTACTGGATAAGGTAATTTAGAGCATAAAATAAATCCTGTGATCCACTTACAAGCCGCATCCGTATGTTTACTGTTTGGTTTCTTTCACAGGCCATGGCTGCAGATAAGAGTGACGAGTGGTTTGCCAAACGCAACAAGCAGAAGGCTTCAGCATAAAGACTGTCTGACGTCATTGACACTGCGTGAAAAGATCCAGGGTGTGCAGTCAACCAGACTATTGTTATTATACATTTCAAGGGTTTACTAATGATAATCCAGGTTTATTTGATGAAAATAATGCCAATTCTATCAATAACACCTTACAATCCCTAAAACTTCAATTGGACACACACTTTTGGACATGATGAAAAATATGTGTATTTCTGTTAATCCTCATGATTATGTAGTTATTCTCTTAAAAGTATATATATTTGATAAATAAAGAGGATAATCAGCAAGTGTAATGTTACAAATATTCAGTGGCTGTTAAAATAAATATTTCCTTTTGTGCCATACCAAATGAATTGCAATTATTAGTTTACAATGACAAATGCATAGAAACATTCATGGTACATTCCAAAGTGCAGTGAAAGAAAAGACAAAGCTTTCCGTTTAATTCCACTGACCCAGCAGCGATCAGTATTATAATACTTCTACATCATATAATGTAAATCATATAAATAAATGTAAAATATTCAACACTTCCATGTTTTGTTAATTTTTTTTTTAAACAAGCAGTGTTGTAATAATTACTGCAGAAGTACCAGAGAAAACATTGTAGCCAAACCGGGGGGCCTTTCGAGTCAAAAAGGTTATAGGTGTGTTCGACTAGAAGCGGCACTGCGCAGACTGATCGGTGTATGACATCAAAGTACCGCGAGAGCATAAGGAGCCACCAGCTCGCTAAGTCGTGTATAATTTTTTCCTTTGTATGTGTTTATAATGTTAATTTTTTTTCTCTTTCTTTTTTTGTTTGTGAAACTTTACATGAAGATTTGATGTAATTTCATTCCTGTAGAGGTTCTATCTGTTCTGTCTTTTCTGTCAGTTTATTGTTTGATGCAATATACAAAAAAACACTGCTCAAATACTTAAAACAAACTGCTTCAAGTCTAACACACCTGTTGAGAGGTGTCACCTGTAGTCAGATGACACCCTCTGTATAAAGATGACAGTCAGCTGACTATCCAACTTATAAAACTGACAATTTGCACACTTTTATTTATAGTTAAAAGACAATAATTTCAGTATTGCGTACCTATAAAGATGGTAAGATTTATTAAACGTTTGTGGCTTTTTAGTAAAAAATAACATAACTTTTAATTATTTTCTGTGCTCTTCTCGTGGGCTTTTATTATGAAAAAACATCTTAATATTTCTGCTTTCACACTTGAAACAAGTATTGCAAGTGGAAAGCCCATCACTTCGATCATAAATCAAAATGAAACCTTGTTTATCAGCCTTAAAACGTATGTATTTGTAATTATGTGTGTTTTAAGAGGCATATTAACATAATTAGCATGTCTGTTTGTTGACACAAGGCTGTCATGATGCCGTTGCTAGATAGCCTAGCATGAGACGGAGGGGCGGTGTAACGTTACACGTAAAGATCCATAGGTCTGCATTACAAACCATTTCAGGTGGGTAACCCGACTTAAACGCTGCTAATTACATCGAACACCTTAACTACGAAGTTAAATAATTCTTGGTTGGAATGTTTTGCCTGTATACTTGCTTATGCTTGCATTGCCAGATCCGCCCAAAAGCTGTTTGCAATGCCAGAGTGGCACAACACTGAGACCGCCGATCAAATAATTAGATTGTGTTAAGATTAAAACTCAACATAATATTAATTGTATATTGTTTATTGCATAAAACTCTGTTTGCCTTTGTGAAATGGTGATTAATGCAACACATTCTGGTTCTGTGTCAGTATTCAGCTAGCTTATATTTTTAACTTGTGATATTTTTATATTTTAGAAGACACTGAATATATATCAGAATATTTAAGAGTTCATATTGGTAAATGCACTTATTTGGTTTCTTAATTGGTCTCTTACTTTCATCCCCTGTTCAGTTTATCATATTAACTAATATAACTAACAAGTCTTGGAGATAATTCTAGAGGAATTAACATCAGTGTCTGTTTGACAGGTGGTCTGGAGTCAGCGTGCCATGATTGTAGGCTAAATGTGAAGAAACATCTGCAGCACAATGTCTGCCCTGCTGATTGCCATCTCAGTGTTTCTCATCCTGGCAGTTGTATTCATTTTACTCTTTAGGTAAGAAACCAGCATACATGAATGAATATGTCAACTTACAGAAGTAAAATGAGTTGCAAATGCTACATTAAAACCTATGAAATACTCTCCTCTTCATGTTTTATTAGATGGTTTGCCTGCAGTTTGGCTGTTCGTTTTTTCCACAATGTCCTGAATGCTGATCTCAAGATCAAGTCTGTGGGTCTGTTCTCGGTGCGAGGAATCAGTGTTCAGTTTCAGCCTCAACACACTCTGGTTGGTTTGGTTTCTGCATTAATAAAACATTGACGACAACTATCAATCATGTGACAAGCATGTAGTAGATTGTGCAACAAGTTTTCAGCAAAGTTTTGATAACTTTGATCATGTCTTAGAAATTTGCATATCAAACGTGATACAGTAGGATTTATAGGTTTAAGAGCTGCAACTGCTTTGATATTTTATCTTTTCTGGCACTATAAATAATTTTTCACTTTTGTGTTTTGCAGGAAATTGACAGGATATGGATTTCTTGTAAAATAGTTAACCCGGACTTGCCGTAAGTATAGTAATGAGATGTAGCTAGAATGAATATTTTCTATTGATAATCGTATTTCATTGTGTTTTATTTCTTACAGGAGGTTCTTGGCATTGTGTGTGGGTGATGCCCGGCTCCGCTTCGACCTGCTGGAGCCCTTTAGGCCCCGGGCTCCCAAAAGCAATGAAGAGAATACTAAAAAACTTGCTCTCAGTCCCTCTACTCTGCATTTTTTCTCTCAGGTGATCAACATTTAGAACTTGAGTTTAGAGTTCTGGAGTGTTTCAGGTTCAATACAAGCATGCTATTAATTACCACAGAAGATCATTTCATATCGTTCTGCAGAAAAGAAAAGTATAATGCACTTGCAATGGAAGTAAATGCTGCAAGATATTGCACTGGGATAAAAGTTTAGGTACAGGCTGTTCATCAACACAAGACCAAAACATACTTCTAAAAAATCGCTTACTAAGTTGGCTCGTTGCACTATTTAAAAATATCAACACAAGATTTAAACATACTTGTTAACGTATAAAATCGTTTACTAAGTTGGTCTGTGCAAAATTATATCCAACCTTTTATTTCCTTTACACCAATTTCATTCAAAAGTGTTCACTTACTATAGAAATCACTATAGTTCACTTCTATTGAAAGTGTGTTACTGTGAATGTGATTGTTTTGTATACAGTTCATTTAAAGTTTCCAGTTGTCTCTGTTTTGTAGCTGCTGTCATTCCACATCGACTCCATAAATGTGATGGTGTTGAATCTGGCCCTGCCTGAGTCACTCTGGCACATGACGTCCTCTGCCATCACTTTGCTGCTGGATCATCAAAGTAAAAGGTGATTAACCTCTGAAAAGGAGAACTTCTGCTCTTTATAAAGACCTTTGCATGGTGTTGTGTTACTTCTAGCTGTGTGCATAGTGGGTTGAGCTCAGGGCTGGCTAGATGGGATGCACTGATATGAAAAATTTAAAACCAATAAGCCGGTAACTGTTTTCATGTTGGGGCCGATATAAATGAATAACAAATGTATGAAGAATAAAGGGCCAATATTAAAATTCTTTATCTACATAAAATAAAAAAATAAAGCTCTCAAAACTAAAATCAGTCATGTTAAAAGCTACAAGTAAATTTAGGCATCGCAAATATTATAATGTACAGTATGGAAAATGGGACATTTAAGTGTTATTCAATTATTAGTGTCTTTTTAAGATTAACTGAGCGTTCCATGACGGCAACAGAACACTACCATTCAAAAGTTTGGGGTTGGTAAGATTTTAGACTGATGTCTCTCTCTAATGTTCACCTAGGCTGCATTATTTAATTTGATCTAAAATGCAATAAATATTGTGAATTATTATTATTACAATTTGAAATAACTGTTTTGTATTAGAATATATGTGACAAATTAATTTATTTCTGTGATGCGAAAGCTGAATTTTCAGCATCATTACTCCAGTCTTCAGTGTCGCATGATCCTTCAGAAATCATTCTAATATGCTGATTTGCTGCTCAAGAAACATTTCTTATTATTATCAATGTTGAAAACAGTTTTTGGGTTATTTGACACAATCCTACAAGCAAGCACAGCAAATCTGGAGAGAAAAAAAAACACAAATAGATTTTCCCCAATTCGTGCAGCACTACTGTGAACTCAACTCGATTAAAGATTTTTATTATTATTGATGTTTAAAACAATTGTGCTACTTTATATTTTTATGGAAACCATGATGAATTTTTTCAGGATTCTTTCCTAAAGAGGAAGTTCAAAAGAACCGCATTTATGTAAAATAGGAATCTTTTGTAACAATGTCTTAACTGTCACTTTTGATCAATTTAATGTGTCCTTGCGGTATACAACTATTAATTTCTTTAAAATAAATGTTTCTAACCCCAAACTTTTGAATGGTAGTGTAGGGAACATTGAACATGTACAATTAAATATCCAATATCTATCAATATTAATATTTTTCTTTTTATCCAATATTGTCCAATAACCAATCAGTATATTGTGCATCTCTATTTAATTTGCCACGAGGATCAAGCCACAAACTTGCACCGTTTTGCCCCTGAGCAAGGCATTTAAAGAAACAGGTTACCCAAACGCCCACTAAAATGACAACTTCTTGATATGTTGTTAGGTTGGCCTGGGATTTCTCAGTGGGACAACTTAGCAGTAAAGTTCTGAAGAGCAGCAGACTGGTATGCACACCACATAATACTGTACATGTGTTAAGGTTTTACTTCAGTATGTTGTGTACAAAACATAAATAATTGGGTTACATGATAACAGAGTGCCTGTTCTCTCATTAACAGGACACTTGTCTGGCTGAGGTGTCCCTGAGTCTGGCCCTTAATGGTGACGTGAGTCTGCCTGATCTCAGGCCAGGCCGTCTGGGACTGTGTGTCAGAACTCTGCTGGCTGAACTTCACGAGGGTCTGTTCCTCAGCCAGTTACCCAAACTTCCAGGTTCTGCTCCAGCTCAATGCACCAGTCAAACTGCAGGTTTGACCAAATCCGGTTTTAAATTTGAGATACAAACATTAAATTAGGGCTGCACAATTAATCATCATTCAGCCAAAGTCGTGAAATGGCTTAGTGCGAATATCAAAGTTTCGGAGTGAAGTACAACACTGTGTTTTTATATTCCAGTGTTTTCAGTGTCTCAAAGCAGCTTGTAAATTCTGCTCCGTATGAACATCTCTGCATCTGATCTGAGTTTGGGACATTTATAACATGCTTTTGGGAACACAACATGTGCCAACCATCTTTCCTAACTTGTAATTAGGAGAATTGCTTATGAACCGGCTGTTGTCAACAAAAAAGAAAATGTATGGGCGGTTTTCCAAAATAAAACCTTGATCATAACATTTCAAAATGATGAAATGAAGACAGCCATCTAGTAGTATTGTAGTTTTACAGTTGTTCTGCTAAATA